CCATTTTTACCTCTCATTTTTCTATATTGATAATATAAATAACAATTAGTTTTAATTTTAATTTTTCTATGTTGGTAATATAGATAACAGTTAGTTTTATTGCTTTTATTTTCTATATCAATAATACAAGAATATTAATTCTCATTTCTTGTTTTTCTAAATTGGCAGTTTAGAAAATTTTATTTATTATTTTTGATTTTTTATATTGATAATATAGAAAATCTCAATTTTAATTTTTGATATCTCTATAACGATAATATAGAAAATCTTATTTTTGAATTCTTATTGATTTTAATTGATGATATAAATATCAGTTAATTTTAATTCTTATTTTTCTATATTATCGATATGGAAAAATACAAAATAAAAACTAAGATTCTCTGTGTCAACAATATACAAAAAATAGAGAATAAAACAAATTGTTATCTTTGTTACCAATGTAGAAAAATAAAAAATAACATTCTCCATATGACCAATGCAAAAAATAAGAAATAAAAATCAGCATTTTCTAAATTATTAATATTCCCTCGACTGAAAGGAGGGTCATACAAAAAAAAATAGTTTGTGTGTGTGTTTGTGTGTGTGTTTGTGTCAGGGTCAAAAGAACATTTATGAGAGGTTAGCTTATTTTAGGGCCTTTCCAAGCTTTGATGAAACTTTGCTGTAGGTTATCGATGGCCCTGAATCCGAATCCGAAGCCCATTTTCTTGGCGGAGCTTTCATTGGTCAGAAACGGGCCAATCAGAAATGAGCTTTTTTATTTTAAGACTTTTGGCCATTTTGACCGAACTTTGCTATAGGTTATCGATGGCCCTGAATCCGAATACGAAGCCCATTTTTTTGGCCAAGATTTCATTGGTCAAAAACGGACCAATCAGAAATGAGCATTTTTATTTTAAGACTTTTGACCGTTTTGATCGAACTTTGCTATACGTTATACAGGGCACTGAATTCGAATCCGAAGCTCATTTTTTTTGGCCAAGATTTCATTGGTCAAGAACGGACGAATCAGAAATGAGGTTTTTTATTTTAAGACTTTTGACCGTTTTGATCGAACTTTGCTATGGGTTATCGATGGCCCTGAATCCGAATACGAAGCCCATTCTTTTGGTCAAGATTTCATTGGTCAGAAACGGACCAATCAGAAATGAGCTTTTTTATTTTAAGACTTTTGACCGTTTTGATCGAACTTTGCTATGGGTTATCGATGGCCCTGAGTCCGAATACGAAGCCCATTTTTTTGGCCGAGATTTTATTGGTCAGGAACGGACCAATCAGAAATGAGCTTTTTCATTTTAAGACTTTTGACTGTTTGGATCGAAGTTTGCTATAGGTTATACAGGGCACTGAATCCGAATCCGAAGCTCATGTTTTTGGCCGAGGTTTCATTGGTTGAAAACCGACCAATCAGAAACGAACTTTTTTATTTTAAGGCTTGTGACCGCTTTGATGGAACTTTGATGGAAGTTATGGAAGGTCAGGATTCCGAATCTGAGATCAGATGTTGTATCCGAACTTCCCACTGACTTGAAAGCTGTGGAATCAGAAATTAACTTTTTTGCTGATAGTGAACAGGTGGTGATATCATAGAGGGTGCATTTATCTGTGCGCTTGTCTCTATTAAGTGAGGAAAAGCAACAGAGATTTAGCATCCAGTTCCGTTTTACATAATGTTGATTTAATCATGATCTTTACATGAATTGTAAAGTCCAAGTATGTGTTAATGTTTGTCTACTCTCCGCGAGACATTACTGCTAAAGTTGTATTTTGGACTGCTTGTGCATACCGAAGATTCATTCAGTGAAAGTGCAGTACATTTTACCAATCGATATATAGTCGCAAGGCATAAAATTTTGCAATATTAATCAGGCTTGTTCGCATAATATTTCAATATTTGAATCGAAATTTTGAAATGAAGACTGTGCTTATGTCAGAGTAAAAGATTAGTCATTTAGTGGTACGAAGTTAAGAAGGGCAGCAGCTAGTCGTTAGTGGCGCCCCGACGGGGCGCAGACGAACGTCTGCTGTCGCCAAAGCAGGTTTATAGGATTCGTGATTTAGGAAATGCCTGCATAGCGTCTAGCAAAATGGTTGAAAATGCGCCACTAAGACTGAATCAATGACAGTTTATGTATAGAAGGATTTATACAAATATCGAGAAGTTAGAGAAACAACGAGTATATGTTAAGAAGATGTTTTGCCTGATAGAGAAAATCTAGTACTCGCTAGGGATAAATAAATACGCTTTTGATATAGTTGAAGCTTGAATCATTCAGGTCTCGTATAAAAGAGTAGCCATTTAGGAGTGTAGGTTCAACCTTTGCAGTGGCTAACAGCGATTGGCGCTACGTTGAAGCACTGACAATCAACTGCAATGTCTCCGATTTTAAATTCACATTTAGTTGGTTTCAGATACGGGCTGTATAAAGCCAGCTTTTTGATTGAGTAATTTGCTAAGATTATTTTGATGAGAAATTCAATTAGATCTCAGATTGGCTAGCTATGCAAGGGAATTAAATGCATAAAGAATAGTTCACAACAATGTTTCCACTTTGCAATTTCTCATGGGAAATCCTCATCTTATAGTTCTAACTACTTTTAAAATTAAGAGAAATCTAGAATCTGGTAGAATTTAAATGATAGTGCGCGATCATATACTCAAATAGAACTGAACATGGCAGCAACTATAGCTGCGAGTATGAGTGGCGTCCATTTGGGGCACTTAAGAGCGACTAACTGCTTCCCGACGAAATTCATTAAAGGAACGCTTCAGACACTCCAAATTCATTGGGAGAATTTCTACCATTTACTTCTTACTTGTTTTAGTGGGAACGAGAGATGGCAAAAAGCTAACAAGTATATTTGAGGGTGTGAGTGAGAACAGCTGTGCTGAATTTGCTGACGATCGGGATAGAACATTCCATGAAAAACCTTAATTAAACAATTTACATAAATTCATTCAAAGCAGATTTGAGTACAATAAAATCCGTTTTTCTCATTTCACTTATTCATACTTCTGCCCATTCACTTGTCTACATTTCTTTGGGTATTTTGGAATTAACTGTTTAATCCGACGAGGACTTTGAATGAAAATCTCACTCAAATGGTATATGACGAGTATTGGTTTGAACCAATATGATTTATTTTAATCTGAAAGTTCCGCTACGCAGGTATTTTTGTAGCGAGCACTGGTAAATGATATTCTCGGTTTTTTACTGGTGGCTATACGGATTATGATGATAGTTTTCGAGAAGTATAGTGCATTTTCACCCTATTATCTCGGATATGTTTTGTTTCTTGATTATCTCTACAAATCTAATATACTGTCTTTTCGGAGCCTGTGGATATTGCTGTACTATTCTGGGTCATACAGATTTACTTTAGATAGTACTCGTAGAGTATCAGTTTAAGTGAATGAATGGTATGGAAAGTAGTATCTGAAAGATACGCATGGCTATTCACACGCCGACACAGATTTGTGTATTACTATTCGCACTCAGACACAACCTTATACATAGGCCAGTTGCTACCTTTTGAAAGGTATGTGTAATAGTAAAAATATCGAAGCAGTCAAATATTCAGTCGAGGGTCAAGCGAGTCACAGAGACGAGCGTTACTTGTTACTATACACAAATAGGACATAAAACTAGCTGTTTCTATATCATCAATATAGAAAATAAAAAATAAATAGGATTTACTATTTTATCACTACAGAAAAATAAGGAATACAAGTAACCGTTTTGTACTCTCTTAATATAGAAAGGTGAAAAATAAAAATAACCGTTTTCTACACTATTAGTATAGAAAAAGAAGAAAAAAACTGACATAAACTATTCGAGTCTTTTCCCCAGGTACTGTTCTTCATCGGAAAGCTGATGGAATCAACTATTCTCGAATAAGGGAAAGAAACAGGACAGACTATACACGATCAGATACTAACAAGCAAGATCTACATTATGTACTGTGTATGTTTCTTTTTTTGGATCTTATATGATCTGTTAAGATCTGACAAGAAGGATCCAGTCTGTCCAAATCAGTGTCTTAATCATTGAGTCTTGTAAGATTATTTGCTGACACCGCACAATCAAAATCTGAGAACATCTTGAAAAAAAATGAACATATAAGATATTGTTCGATATTGTAACAAGATCATAGAAAAAACCTTATAGGAGTAAGACCTCATTGGATCTTGCAGGATCTGACATCTGGTTTTTTTCGAGAGTGCAAGTGCGAGTGTAATTATTGTATTAATTCACACCCACAACGTGTGTTTTAAAAACATGTAATTTTTATCAGTATGAGCCAGATTTATTGCTTAACAAATTTTTTTTTCTGACACTCAATTGATAGGAATGAAACAAATATACCTCTTGTTTAAAATTATGTACTACGTTTTTTCTTCGATCAAGTACCTATTTTTTAACATAGATATTGCTCTTTAGTAATCATATCTATAATGGTAGCAGACATACCCTGTTTATTTTGCATGCATGTATATATATCTGCATTCTTTTCCCATTACATACTCCATTCTTGATGTAAGAGGGTGTGGGGGTCGATGTGAATACGAATAGAAGACTCACACCCACACCCTCATTAAGATTGTTAAACTTCTTATTTTGACGTCGATTCATTTCTAATAATGTACATAATCTTTGTTGAAGTTTTCTACACACTAAGACTAAGTGATGAACGTAATAGAAAATATTGAATAGAAACATAGACGATTTCTGAACATTAATCATTCGCGCAGTTGGGTATAGGTTTCACAGAACAACTAAGCAAACAACTCACTACTTAGTGACTACTCATAAGATTACTATTTCTTCTAATAATTGAAGTGAAACAGAAAACTTCAGTTACAACCTGTTTTTTTTTGTTCAAGAAAGCACAATGAAGAAATGCATTAAGAGTCAGTCCTTCATCAATAAACACATTTGCAATTATCAACTATATTTCTGAGCAAACTTTACATTCCTACTTGCATATTTCTAACTAACTCATAAATAGTACTGACCTCGTGACTTTGTGTTCGTGCTTAGCTTCATTGTTGCGAATTGTTGTTCCATTGCTCCAGCGATAGGTTTCGCTGTAGCCGTTGCTGATATTGCTGATGATGGAGATTTCACTTGCGAACTTTCGTTGGGTTGAATTGTTGGATTTGGTACCGGAACTGGCTCAAGAAGATCAAACTGCGGCTTTAATTCTGTGAGTTGTACAATATGCAGTCCACTGCCAGTATCTAGACAAGATGTGACTTGAAATTGTCGGGCAGGTAATAAAAGTATCTCATCTTCATTGGGCACGAATGAATGCTTTTTGATATCCTTCGCTGTCGTGCACTCTATTTGAAACAGAGTTCTATTTCCAGTGGTTCCAAAAAATTGTTCATTTTCCAACACTTCGACCGACGAAGTGCATGATGAAAATCCCCACCAAATGAAAACCTTGCCTTTTGGATATTCAGCGCATAAATTTGCTTTGACTCCTCGAAAAACGGATCGACGCTCAGTTGGAAGACGAGCAAGTGCCGTCAGTATGAGTCGAAGATACAGAAACCATGGGATTAAATTTTTTCTTTGTTCGGATCGTAAAGTTTCATTAAGTTTCACGTACAGGGAATCTTCATGTGGCATCGATTCATAAGTGTAAAGCATAATCGAAGCTGATTCGTCAGATGTTAAATCATCTTCTGTTTCTTGACAGTTTTGTTTGACTACGAATACGTTTCTTTCAACTTTCGGTACAATTTTAACAAGAGGCTTCACAGCTTCTTCGAGTGTTACAAGTGGTGCTTTCTCATAACCTTCAATAGGTGCCAACATTCGTTTTGGTAATGAACCCATATCAGCAAAGCGCAAAGCAGACGTTGTTTCGTTCATATTACTATAAGCCATTTGAAAGTGTTAAACCTAGAACAAAATATTTATAATATCTTTCACATTCTCCAAATCAGGCATAGAAAGACATTGTTCTACGATACTCTGCTCGATATACCATATCTCCCCTTATTAAAAATAAAAAGAACATGAAGATGAATCCTTTATAACCTTGGATACAAAATTTTAAAACCAAAAGTTATTAAGAAATATGTTGGATTGAAGAATGAGATAAATTTAATTGCCATGTTTTTTAAGGCAGTATTGTATTAAAAACTTCTTCGATTGTATCTTAATAGTTAATGCAAATATTCGAATGTAATTTTACAGAGTTCAATAAAATTCATCATGAATTCATATCAATTGGATAGCTTTCTTTGATGTACTACTTTCAAAATTTTCATTGCAAACTAAACTCAACTTACACGTTCAAGACAAATGTATCATGACATTTTCAGATCTTTCATAAAACTAAATGCTTTTGAATCGACCTATAAAATATTCGTTTTGTTTGTAATGAAAATATTGAAAGCAACACCTCAGAGAAGCTTCTCAAAGTGATAGGAACTCTTAGAACAACTTTATTGATCTTCATAGACTTATATAGAAGTATGTACGTTAAGTTCTATGATTGAATAGAAAATTTTCTTATTTTCAGCCGTTGTAAATATATGAAAATTGATCATAAAATATTGCAAATCAAAATTTGTCAAACTATGGTAACTGACTTTATCTGTTTTTTCAATAATAAACTTTGATTTTAAAATGTTTTATACAGAGTTATCAAGAATCGCATGAAGAATCTGCTATCAAGCTTATATTTAATTGATGAAAACCAGGAAAGTCATTGGCAGAATCATATGTCAGATTTATTTTTCTTGGAAAATCCAAGCATTCATTTCATCATTGTTTTCTTTATTGATGAGCTGCAAAGATATTTCCAGTGCCATAGTGTTAAGGGCAAAGAAAAAGAAATTTTTGAGCTATATTATTCATTTTTGTACTAATAAAGAAATATTGATAGAAAGAGCGAAAGCGTGTGAAGGGACACAGTTAAAAGTTACACCGAAAATACACTACAAATTTTCTATAGAAAATTCCATACTATCCACTCGCATGTATATTCTACCTAACATAACCTATAGTATATAATCTGAGAATGCTTACGCCCTCAATTACATCAGCCCACAAAGCATAATAGATCGTCCAATCTTGGATCTCATCAATAGAAACTTCATGACACATCTCATTAAAACTGACAGTTTCTATATGTTGCTGACGAAAACTCAAAATTGATACTTAACAAGCACTGATTATTTCAACTCACAATTCACAGTCTACAAACTGCATATTGATTACTACATCTCAAAGAGCAAAAACCGGAACTTAACTACTATAACCAATCACTCAATGGTACGTACTCATAGCTGCAGCACAATATTAATAATTTCGTCATTGTCGCATTATACCTACAGGAACTACTCACACTATGAATTAAATTTAATGTGAGTAACAGCTGTCACTTTTAAACAGGATTCCGCGAGCAGTATGTTCAAATTATTACGAGTTATCGGAAGTCGATACTCATAACTTATTAAAAGTAAGTCACGATTAATACCTGTAAATGTTTCAATTTCTTAGACGCGCATAGATGGAAACTCAATTTTATGCTCAAAAAATGATGGGTGTCAGCTGAATAGACTCTTAGAACTTACATGCATCACTGTCCAATGAGTTATTAACATGCAGGTATGAGATGAACAGAATCCTTCAAATTTCACAACCAGGTCAGACATACTTATACAAAAAACTCGTTTTAAAAGCTTTAAGGTTCTGTTCTAACGGGATTTTATAGGCATCTTCCAAGACGTATCAACGCGTTAGTGATATACGAATCTGTTGAAATCCATAGTTTATTTTTTGATTTATGCGATTTTACTGGTTTTATATTGGAGAAAATTTATCAAATGAGTCAAACTTATTTCCAGTATGACTTCCATGAGTGGTTAAGCTACAAAAGCATCCTTGTAATTATATATATTTGATAAGTGTCATAGAAAAAAATGACCATTTTTCGTCAAATCCATGGTGATTCGTGTGAGTAAAGAAGGCACTTGTGAATCATACATTCTTCAAGGCATAATGTTACATCCTATTGAATGATATACGACTCGTGTGAATACACTGGTTTCATTAGTAATCAGTTATGATAATTCTCTTTACTGAGTAAGTCACTCATGATGTTCATAATAAGAGATATAAAACCTCGATTACTTCATGTGATTTCTGATGACTCAGATTCGATTAACAATATTTAAATTAGAGTGCTTCTTAGACTAACGCTGCGAAATTTTTCAAAAAAAACCAACGTGACCATATTTTAAAAGTTCAACTGAGACATTCGATCATCAGTATGGAAATATTTTTTTTTTCGTTTCCAATGTAAACTTCTAAATTCAGTCAAACAGGAAAGACATACTAATGTGGAATAAGTTTCGAAGTGATGCTGAAGAATTCAAAGTCGTCTTTTGTACATCTATCAATGTGAAGAATTTTCAATATGCCTGGAAGAATATTCTGTACGTCAATCTAATTATTACACAAAAATCTCACAGTGCCATCATTTTTAACTATTATTACAGTTTGATATGAAAAACAGTGACTATTTATGTTCTAAAAAGAATGAATCTCCGTCTGATTATGTAAAATTAACTGTTTTCCAAATTCCAAAAGTTTTTTTCAGAGATTTCACTCATCAGATGCAGAGTTTTATAATGGTGAGATTACATCAATCCATGAGGTTTGAAATTTAGAATCAATTTTTGTATAACTCGTGAATGACTTATGTACTAAGACGAATCAACAACTGTTTCGTATTAGAAATATCAAATATTTCAGTTTTATTTTTTGACCAGACTGTTTAGACTCGGTCACATTTAATCACTCAGATTTAGATAGGGAGTATCGACTTTTCAGATCAAAAATTCAGATATCAGATCCAACAAGACTTTATAAGATGTTACCATCGGATTAATTAAGATCATTCTTTCAGTATTACTGCAAGACTTGAATGAACATCTTGCAACAATTAAAAGATAGAAAATGTGAGATTAGAAAATACAAATCTTCCACTATCATACAAGACCATCCTCAAAAATCTGTTTAAAAAGAGCGTGTCTACCTCTGTGGTTCGCTTTATTCGAAATTACAAAAATTTCCAAACGTGGTACTAGTTATTCACATTATAGCAGTGAAAATATATCTTCTTACACACAAATATATAACCGTCCAAGTAGAAGAAAGCTTTGCAGAATAAATGTATATTGTTTGAGGCAAAAATATAAAATATCAATAAATGATACATAGAAATAGAGAGAAAAGAAAAAGAGATCATATCTCGAAAGAGCAATATAGTATTTAAAATGTGGCATCTGATAAAACTATATAATTGAATACGAACATGAGTGAGTAAAGACGTAAGGATAAGTTTATGACTATAATGGCAACAGTGGAAGCACAAAATAGACTACTTTACAAATATCAGTAAATGGATATAATAATACGAATGCAAGATTATGGATATAAGAGTATAAATGAATGCTAATATGGATAAAGCAAGAAGAATATAGGCATAGGTCCAAGGATATTGGTCTAACATTTTAGGTATTAGCATACGGTGGTGATGATATAAATAGAAGGATGTAGCATAAAGGTTATAGCTATTATCATGTAGTCTATAGTATATAGATCTAAGGTTTGAGTTCAAATGATTTAGTTACATAAGTAAGTAAAGGCATAATAATTTGAGTATGTCGATGTATGCAACATCTGATTCAAATATTGATTCTATGTGTATATTCATTATGTTATAAGCTTTTACAAAACTCGATCCTTTAGTCTCTGTCAAAGAACAGAGTCTTAAGTTGTGTGAATTATTGTATAAGCATGTGAAAATACAATGAAACTGAATAGTACGATCTTGTATGTTCATATAAGACCATATTGTTCAATCTTATACGTACTTTAATGTAAATTCTGATGTAAAATCGCAGAGTTGACGATTTTTCTATGAATCCGTATGATCGTAGAGTCACATATTATATGAATGTACAAGATTATACGAAAATTCGTGACAAAAATTTGCATTAGCCGACATAGTTAAATTCATGTCCCTTAACTTATGTAATTGATTTTCTTCAGTCTATACCTTAAATATATATAATAACAATTATCTAATAAATTTTTGTTCTTAGAACTTATTAGTTTCGCTATATAGTTACATTATTTTTATTTACGTTAATATAAGCTTATTCTTCAAAACTTAAATTTGCTCTATACAAGCTTATATTTTTATTCAACAAGATAAACATATACTAATAGAATAAAAGAAACATATCTAACGTTTAGAAAATTAATATTCTAGAATAAGTCAAGTGAAATAGGCGATAATGGAAGACTCATGTTATCTGATTTGATATAGCTTATCAATGACAGAATTAATTTTATCTTATATATGATCCCGCTGATGTTCTAATAGCTCCTATTCTATGATTCTACTACAAATTTTTTGGGATATTCAAGACAACGATTCTTTCGATTGTTCGACGAGATTTTGTCTAAGTTATCAACTTTCTTGTGCAGATTAATCATCATGTATATTTATACCCAAGATATTCGATTGAAAAGACACAGCTGTATTGTTTATTTTTATTAGTAGAAATCATTGTTCTTCATCTTATCGTTAGTGTAACACAATGGTTTTCTTATTCCAAACACGTTGAAAGACAAAACTTTAGTTGATTAAAAATATATTGAGTTTATAGAAATTCGTATGAATAGTTCATTATTGTATGCATAGTCAATCTTTCACTCTGACAAGAATTACTCTGATAGATTAGAGAAAACCTGAAAAGTGCTACAAAAGACATCGCAAATACTTTTCAATTTCTATGAATTACATGTGGAAATTTTCTTTGGACGCTTGATCTGTCTAATCTGATTCAATAGTATGATTTTCA